AATGTCTCTGACACAATGGCTTTGTCTTCAATCTCCCTCATTTGCCTCAAAGATCCTAAACTGGATGGAAAGAAGAGAAAGGAGAGTTAAAGCTCCTGGTGAGAGTGAGTGTTTGTAATCTCTTTGCCTCCCCTTTCCTCACCACACACCCACCCAATGATTAAAGCTGAGTTAAAGCCCCTGCTGCTGGACTGGACTGAACTAGAGAATTAAAGAGAACAGCAACGAGCTCAGGTAATTACCAACCAACCCCAAGGAAAGGAGTGTTTCATTCCCTGCACCACTGGGACTGCAGAGAAAGGAAGGAGGAAGTGGCTTTTTCGGACACCCTACAATCACAAAGCCATTCTCCCTCACTCTGAAATTTCAGATAACCCTCCTAAAGCAGTTTGAGTGCACACACCCCTCCTGTTCTGTGCTGGTGGAGAGCTCAAAGCAGCAACATCACTACGTGTTTTATCAAATCTGTGCTAAACTTCTCCCAGTACTGCTCACGGAGGGTCTGAACACTGAAGGTACTCGTGTAAAGTGGGAAAAAACAGGGAAAGAGAGAACAGGCAGCTCCAGGGAACCCTCACTGTCACAGCACTGCTGACACTGGGGGAGCAGCAGCCAGGGACTGACCCTGCCCTGAAGTGGTAACTTTAGGACCTTGATTAATGTGCAGAACTCAGGCAGAGGAAGTCAAATGTTCCCAGATCAGCACGAGCCTGATAAATTCAGACAGGAACTTTCGTGCCTTCCAGCTACGTATTAATGCATCCTGGAAAAAAACTTTGTAGCAGTAAAATCCAAACTGCACATATTCCACAGCTGAGCTTATCTCCTCAGTGGTTCCAAGGGAGGGAGGGGACTCAGTTTTCCAGCCACCCTGATGGCAATGGAGGATAGCTGCAGAACAACATCTGCTTTTCACATCAACACCTCCAAACTCCTCAGTGAAATGTGGGGACTTGAGCACCACCATGGAAACAGGAGTTATATCACCCAAGGATGGCAAGGATATGATGTCAGTTTTAATTAGTACATTTGGCATGAATATCTCATGGCACAGAACTATCTGTGCATCAGGCACGAAAATGTATTTTTTTTAAATGAACAAACCAACAAACGAGAACTTTAAAGAACATTTTTCACATCCACAACCTCTCTTCGTGATGTCTTTATATGAAGTGAAAAACTTAGGAGCTGGTGACCATCCCAAATAATTACAGTGAAGACAATCATCTTCTCATTCTAAGAACACACTCTAGAGCACATGTGGAACATACTTTCATACCTACACTGCATTTCTTTTACTCAAGGAAACCAATGGAGAGCCCTGTAAAATAGAGATGTTTTTATTTCTTATTACTTCTAAGACTCGAAAGTTCTTTCCCCTAATAGGACTTCCTGTTTAATAATTAACTGAAACTATTCTGGACTCAGCTCCAGTAATAAATATTGAGATAGGCAAAATACCTGCAAAGCTTTTCCTTGATGAGTCTGCCTTAGAACTGTAAATCTGGAATTTTCACGGCGTATTAAACACTGGAGAAGCTTAAAGATTTATTTAAACATATAATTATTTATCATATTTTTCACATTTGAGCATCTCAGCTCCAGTAACTTGACGTGGGGTTTTGTTTAGGTTTATTTGGTGCCTGTGTATATGTTGTTTTACGGTGTTTCGTGGTTTGGGTTTTTATTGTTTATTCTGGTGTCTGCTTTTAGGAACAGACTCAGCTCACCAGAGCAGTTTTCACTGTGTACCTGGTGAGTTAATAAACAGATGGTGCAATTACAGTGACAAGCATCACACCAGAAAAGACCCAGAGAAAGAACAGTAAACAACTGTAAACAACTCTGACAAAGAACCCACCTCTCCCTCTGGTGTCACTCAAGGCTCCTCGTGTGACTGAGAAAAGCCTGATAAAAGATGAGCTGTCCCAAACATCACAGGGCTGACAGAAAGCCACTCAGACAAGAGACAAGATTACTTTTCAACCAAGCACTTTGAAAATCAACTAAGACAAAACTGAAGAGAAGTAAGAACAGCCCCTTGGGGGTCTGCAGAGGGGCTCTGTTGAGCACTCCCACCCCTGGAGTAGCAGATCAGATCCTTGGAAAACACCAGGAGCCTTAAAAGTATTTGCATCAGGTAGCAACAAAATAAATTTGAGGGACTTCTTGAAAAATGAAAGTCTCAGAAAAGTCAGCTCACAAAAAATACATTATAGACAGACACTGTAGTATTCCCTGTTTATCAGCTCTTCACCCATTCCCATCATATATTTAGGAGTTAATTTAAGCATCCAGAGTATCTGAAAGGGATCAGGGGGGAAAAGAGCAACTGCAAACAATCCTCCATATACACACACACAGAGAGTTTAGGATGTTATCCACAACCTTCATAATGTGACAAGGGTCCTGGAAGGACACTGGCATTAGCACAGACCTTAAATGATAAGATTTGAGCCAATTTCCAGTGTTTTAAACAACCTTTACAGAAGCACAACCTCCATTTAGCTCAGAAAACAATAACTGCCACACAGCTTTTACTTAAAAGACAACTCCAGACAAGAAACATCCCGTTCAGGTGAGAGCAGTGCAGCAAGACACAGAATCTCTGGGTTTGGGTTGTTTTTTTTTTTTAACTGCCCTGTGCAAAATTGTATTAAATTACTATGTATGCAACCGTGAGAGATGAGAAACAGAGAAGAGCTATTTCCACTGGAGCACCAAAGGATGGTAAAGTGGACAGATGGAAATTATAGGTTTCTCTGGCCTGGCTATTATGATTCGAGAGTGCCAAGAGAAGAATAAATGTATTGTCATTTATACAACAGTCAGAAGACAGACAAGCATTAGCACATAGAGCAAAGAGCTGTCTGATTTTCACAGTACTACAGATGTACTCCTGCCACTACATATATACTGCAATAAATTGAAACTAATGTTCTTTTGTATAAGATTTCCAGTAATTACTTTGTTCTTAGTGAAGATGCCCACAGACAAGCAAGGTGGTGTGTGTTTAATTTCATTGATCATTTCATTTGCTGAAACAGGTATTTATTGTCCAATTTAGGGTGTAGAAGGACGTGCATTTCAAAGCAAAATCTCTATTTCAGTGTCTACCAAATGTTAACATTCAATATTGAGAAATGTAAATTACTTTTCATTTTCAATACTCCAATAAAATACCTTATGCACAGGGAAGCAAGCGAAGTTTTACATCATAAAGATATACAGATACACTTCTAGATCTTAACCTTTGTTGAAGAAATCCTCTGTGATTTTATGTTCATCTGATCAAGGGAAGCAGAGCATTAGCTTGGATTTAGCAGGTTTAGGAGCAAGACTATTAATTGAGCAAAACTTCAATTACAGACTAATTTAATGTATGCTCAAGTACATTACTGCAATTCAATAAACACCTCTTCAGAATTAAAAAATTCCAATTTGCTTTCATTTCAGCCTGTGCACCCGCATTACAAATTCCCTGTTATTCCCATTAAAATGAGCCAGCCTGGCTGGAAGCACCCAGAGTGTCACAGGGCTGCACCACACTGACCTCCAATGAGCCACTGCACCTTCCCTGCCTCCTAACCAGGAATGAGGAGCACGAGTGCACCTTTCCATAACAATAGGATTCTCCTGAGGTTTCCTGGATATGCCTGAGCAATCCAGCAATGAATCTACCAACATCTCTCCTGGTGGACATCCAACCATTCGTGGGTCTGACTTATTCTGTTGTTTTTTCCCTGCTTATAACAACAAACATGGAAGTGCCAGACACCTCCTCCAGACCCTGAGCTCAGCTCAGCTGGTTAAAGTCTGGTGCTCACAACACCACAGCTGTGGGTTTGATCCCCTGAGGGCCATTCTCTGAAGAGTTGGACTCCATGATCCTTGTGGGTCCCTTCCAACTTGCAATATTCTGTGAACTTGCAATATTCTGCTACCTGGTTGCTCTGGAAAACTGCCTTCCCTCTCTTTAGCTATGATCCCATCCTAGCTCTGCCACTCCTGGCAACTCCATCCCATTTTAGTCATGAATTAATTCCTCCAGATTTGAACAAGATGTGAGATCACCAAGTGGGAATTAAAAACACTTGGCATCCAAAAGGAGCATTTTCTTCATGATCTGTGGAGTCTGAACATCTGCACCACACCACACTCCAAGGCATTATAAAGGCATCAGCACACTGATCATCAAATGACACAGGCAGTTGGCAGAAAGCAGCACAGTGGACAACTTGATCTCATTGCTAGAGCTTCCTCCATTTCCAAAAAAAGTGAAACATTTAGAGCAATAAAATTATACTCTGTGAGGAGACCCTCACATCACCCCCCATCCCAAACATGAAGCACCTCAGGAACTACTCAGCCACTTTCTGATTTCCCCACTAAGAGTCACTGATGCAGCATCCCCGGGCTGCAGCTCAGGGTAAGTTTAAAAATAAATAAAAAAGCAGAATAGTGAACAGCACTTCAGCACAGGCCTCATGAAGGTGAGATTAAGACACACTTTGCACGTGTCAGGCACAAGTTCAGCTCTTGAATCACAGTAATTAACAGGGCTAAAATCCAAGCATCCCTCAAGAACTACTGATGCCTCTACTCCGTATTTCAGGATGTCAGCAGAATCAATCCCAGTATTTATTCCCAGCAGTCCCAAGCAGTCTCTCCTGACATGCAATGCTCCATCACAAGGTTATTAATGCCTAATAAAATATTGTAAAGTAAAGCAAACGAAGCTGACTGACAGCCAAACTCTAGCTGGCTACAGGGAGTCTCCACAGCCACCACACATTACTACAAAAGCTTACAAAGAGGGGCTGTGTCCAAAGTTTAGACTCAAATACCTGTTTTAAGTCAGCGATTTAAATCCACGTCCCTTTGACCCTTTTTTTTCCTTCTTTTAACGAGAACGAAACAAGAAGGTCTGACAGGATGTCAATTTTTATATGGAGGAAAACACTCCTCTTGCATGAAGTCGCTGCTTGAAAGCCACCTACCTTTCACAATGAGCTCTGCATAGTTGGACACCCCGGAGCCGCCGTCGGAGCGGATGACACAGCGGTACTTGCTGATGCTGCGCTGGGAGGTGTCGGCCACGCTCACGGTGGCCGAGAAACGCCGGTGGTTGACCACTCGAGTGACCATCAGGGCTGTGTCCCTCCCATTCCACTGCTGCAAGGGCAGAGAGGAATAACCCAGGTTAGGAAGACAGGTAGATGATGCATTTATGCATCCGTGTTTCACTCGGTCTTTGCCGTGCTTGACGTCGTGCAGACCTCCGTGTTCGCGCTGAGAGGAGGGATTTTATGCAGGCAGAGTTTTTCAGGAGAAGGCTGACAGAAACACCCTGGAGAAATGCACAGGGTCCTGAATGTTCTCACACATATGTGAGGGTGGGGAGGCCCTGGCACAGGTTGCCCAGAGAAGCTGTGGCTGCCTCCCATCCCTGGGAGTGTCCAAGGCCAGGCTGGATGGGGCTTGGAGCAACCTGGGCTAGTGGAAGGTGTCCCTGCCATTTGGGATGATCTCTAAGACCTCTTCCAACCCAGACCATTCTATGATTCTATGATATATTTAAGTTATCACTTCTGTTTAATTTTTGAAACATTTTTGGGCATTTCATGTGCTCCAGGGATATGAAGATGGTGAAGGGTCTAGAGGGAAAACCACAGTCAGAGGAGACTGAGGTCAGACCTCATCAGGGTCTGCAGCTTCCTCCCAAGGACAGCTCCAATCTCTGCTCCCTGTGAGCAGTGACAGGACCCCAGGGAAGGGCTGGAGCAGTGCCAGGGAAGGTTTAGGTTGGATCTCAGGAAAAGGTTCTTCTCCCAGAGGGTGGTTGGCACTGACCAGGCTCCCCAGGGCAGTGGGCACAGCCCCAAGGCTGCCAGAGCTCCAGGAGGGTTTGGACAATGCTCTGAGGGACAGGGTGGGATTGTTGGGGTGCCTGTGCAGGGCCAGGAGCTGCACGGGGTGATCCCCATGAGTGTCTTCCAGCTCAGGATATTCTGTGACTCTGTGATTAATGACTCCAAAGGCTGGAGAGTGACAGCTCTGACTGTGCAATTCCACACAGTGTAATTAGAGGCCCAGCTTGGATATGAAAACACAACAACTGAAGGCTTTGTGTACACCTGGGAAAATGCTACAAATGAACAGATTCTACAAACTTGGCATTTTCAGATGTAAAACTTTGATTGTGGACCAATTTAAATAAATTGGTTGGATGAGCAGACACCCTCATATGTCCAATATTCCTCAATAAACCTCTCTACCAATGCCAGACTACACTTTTCCAACTGGAAAAGGGACAGATGAAGAATTAGCTAGGAATAGTTCTCCACAGCATAAATATGTCAACTTGCTCATTGGTCTAGTTTATTGGGAATTTCAAAGGAAAGCACACTGCTGTTCTGCTGGTTTCCAGTAATGAGGTTTTGGGGATGTTTCCAAGGTTATTTTCATTAAATGTTTCAGTTTTCGAGAATGGAAAACAGGTTTCCATTAACAACAATAATGATTTCTTTCCAAAACTCTGCTTCTCAAAGGGAAAGATTTATACTGTTCCAGGTCAGAACTGTTTTTACACACATCTAATCATAACTGAGGAAAGATTTCACTGAAAGAACTAAAAAAAAAGAAATAAAAAAAGATGAAGAATAAGCCAAAAATGTGACTCCATGAATGCTAGAAGTACACAACAGGTAAAGAAATTTCAGCTAAAAATGTTATTTTTAGTAGAACAGCTGTGATGAGAGCAGTTACTGACTGTAATATAATTTTTTCATAATGCCAACTACATTTCCCACCAACCTAAGCCTTTTCCCCTGTACTGATTTTAATTTTTGTGATTAGGTAAACCAATTCCTCTATTTAAACTAAATTTGAAAATGCTATTTTTAAAATTTATTAAAATGTCTGGAAGTCAATTATAAGGTTTGACAAAATCTGTTAACTATTTGACTGCAAAGGCCCTTCCTCTCTGCCTCAGATGTTACAAACAGGGGGTGATCAGACCCTCAGTCACATCTGCCCAAGCTGAGAATAAAAACCTGTGAACTGGCTTAAGTGTTCTGAAAGTTTCTGTTGGCCCAACATACAGGCAGAGAATCCTCTTGACTTGTTTGGCATATGAAGCATTTAAGAATTCAACTATTTTAAAAACTTCTGGAATGGTAATGCTGGGAGTGTCCCCGTATCAGAGCACTTCCAAGAGCAGGAGAAACAATTTTGTCCTTCACTGGGAAACACGTTCAGGTTGGTGTCTGTTCATTTCTAACTCTGAAAATGAATTCTCAAGGGTGTTACTGCACCCACATGAAGAGCAGGACCCAGACTCTCAAGTCCAACCAGTAGGTTGAAAATAAGACACCCAGAGGGGGAATGTTTTGGTCTCTTAGCGAGTGACTAAAATAATCTGCTGTTAACATAGCCAAGGGAAACTGGGAGCAAGAAACACAGTAGGTACAAACTCGGTTTGCCTGTTTTCACTATGCAGGTAAGTCATCCCAGACCTTAAAGCAGGTTTTCCTCTTACCATATTGTCACTGACTCCAGGCTAAGAACCTTTCTGCAGGGTGAGAGGAAAGCTGATTGCATAACAAGAAGGGAAGAGCTACTCGACTTGTTCTGTCTCCTCTGCTTTATGACTGAGTGTTTACAGGTACATGGGCATTTGTTTGAAACCAGAATTTTGCTGTCCTGGCCATTTTTTCCATTTTCTGTATCATGACTGCACTTTGTCACCTTAAACCCTCACCTTGAAACTATTTAAGGCAGTTCTCAAAGGGTCTCAATGGAAAGATGTTGCCCCACACCCCAGTCTTCCTCTACCTATTCATTTTACTTGCAAAAAACAATCAAATCAAACCAAACCAAAGAGGAAAAAACACTCCAAAAGAGGTCATTACTTTACCTGGAGCCAGAGCTTGTCGTGCTGGGACCATTTCCCCCCAGCAATGCACTGGAACGTCGCGTTCTGTCCCACGTTCACCTCCACGTTCTGGAGCCGCAGGAAATGAGGGGCTTTTCCTGACAAAAGAGGCAAAGTATTGCAAGGGTAGAGCAAGGCAGTGACTGACTGTGTTACACCACCCCAGAGGGAAACACTCAGCAAGGCATCAGGGCTGTCCTTGACAAGGTGTTTTTGCAAAATCAATCTGTCCTTCAGTGTTTAACTACTCCCTGCAGAGAGAGGTGGGTGATGGATCTGAGGGAGGATGGCCCGAGGGATCTTAAGAGAGCCCTGGCACATCTAAAAAACACAGATTTGGATCAAATCACAAGTTCATGGTCATTGGCACGATTTCTTATTGCTTGCTATAAAGAGTGATTGAGTCATTTCTTTTCTTCAGAAAGCTGTGTTTCTAAAAAGGTCAAAGAAAAATCAAATGCTTCTGTGCTTGTCAAGCGTGACTGACCCAAACCGCATTTTCACAGGGGTCTTTCATCCTTTTTATTTTATTGACTATCAAATACGTCCTAGACCTTTAGAATAATGCATCATTAATATCAAATCAGATATGAAATGAAATATTCATATAACTGACAGCACTGTGTCACTGGTTTAGCTGAAGATCACTGATATCAGTGTTTTGCCGTTACTAAATTCAGCATTGGTTCAAAATTAAACCAGTGATATTAAAATGCAGACATGCAATTTGTTCACAAAGGACCTAGATCAGAGGATTATCTTTCTGACTAAATACCAGCCTCAGTTACATCTCTAATTGAAATTACAAAATCATAAACAAGATTACAGCAGTGAGTCTGACACCTTTAAGCGACCATAGTTCTTGCCAGGCTTCAGAAGGTTTGTGCACCACTGGAAAACTTTCAGTAGGACACACTGAATAGCCTTGCAAGCCTATAAAGGTCAGAGTTTTTCAGCTTCATCTTTACATTTTTTAGTATGATTAGACACTGATGAAATCCATAATTTCAGAGGATATTCCAACCTGTCTCCTTCTGCTGGAATCCAAGAGCTTGAAAAAAAATGTGGCCATCTGTGGCTGTGCATGAGGCTTGACATACAAATGTTTGTGTACTACAGACACATGGAGAACACGTGTCTACACATCATGTCAAATATTTTTATCTACCTCTGTGTCCCCTTCACCACACGCTCAGTTTGCTGACAGCTCCTGAAGGACAGTGACTCTCTACCATCCTGCTTTCTCAGCATCAGGAATATGCATCAAGGTTTACTGGGAAACTACCTCTGGGTGACAGTCAGAGTGTTCTACAGGGTATTCTCAGGGCAAATTTAGGAATTTCTGCCTGCAGTCTGCAGTGGGCAGCTCTAAGGCAGCTCCAAATACGAGGGTGCAGTCACACCAATCCCAAAATCCTGGTCCTGAGGTCTGCCCAGCTTCTGGAGCATGTCCTGTGATGGCAGGGGCTCATGCACAGAGCCAACGAGCTTTTAGTATAGTGACAATGGATACTCCAGTGCACCCCTTCACAGGACAAATGGGGGGGAAGGCAACAGCAATATATTTATTTTTGCCCATTATTGTGTCATTAGGGGCATTTCCCTGTTTTTGCTGATACCTTGGTTTGGGGGCTGTGCTGTCACCTGGGAAGGTAAAGCAGAGATGAAGAAATAAGAGCAGTGATTTCAGTAACCTCCAGGGTCACAGGGAGCTTCGTGGTCCCCGTGTTTGGATTTATAACAACTGTAAAACGAGCCTGAGGGGCAAAGCCTGTACAAGGAAATGGGTGACATTTACCCTGGTGACTGTCACTGCTGAACAACTAAAGCAAAACTAGGAATACAACAGGAGAAGCATTTACAGGGACTGCAGAGAACTTGCAGCCTGTAATGACCTCTGTGTGCTGCAGGTTGCAAATCAAATTAAAAAAACAAACAAAACAACCCTGTTTGAATAATTTTGGTGTTGACTCTGCAAAAAATGCCCTTATTTTTGAAGAAGGACCTGAATATACTTGGAGAAATGGATTATTCAAAATCAGTTTACTTAATGAAGTGTAACACAGCATCCTGCCTAACTTTTTAAATCCCCTCATTTTCTTGTTGAGGCTTTGCCCCATGGTTTGTTCAGTGGCCTCTTTCCCAGCAAAGGGCCCAGCCATCACCCAGCAGGCTGTGAAGGCACACAGACCATTTGGGGATTTGCCTGGATGCTGCCAGTTATCAGCAACATCTGGTTAATACAGACTGTAAGTATTTCTTAATGAAGTAAATGCACCCAAAAGCCTGAGCAACAAGCACATGGTAAATACAAATATAATTTACTTAAACGGCAATTAACCACCCTGCAGTTATCAGAAATGTCCTGTTAAACTTGAGCAGAACCATGTTTGTCACATTGAATGGCAGCTGTTCTTTGACATTCTGATTGCAGGAAAACCAGTGATTTCACTCCATCAACATGTTTTTTTTTTTTGTGAGCAGCTGTCACTGGTTTACTGAAACCATGAGCCAGTGAGAGGGGCTGTAAATAAAACATCTTTACAATGAACTGCATATTATATACATAATATAGGCAAAGTCCTCAAGCCACACTGTAGGTGCATAAAGAAACCAAACAAGTTCAGATTCAAAGACAGGGGCTCAAGACTTCTTTGAATGTAACAAATAACTAAATAAATTTAAACTTATTGTTGCAGCTGCAATAGAAGAAACACAGCACCAACATTTACGAACAACTTAATGAACCTGCATTAGTTTCTACTCCTGTGCAAGTCCACTCTCTGAATAATATCTTTACAGAGGGTGCTGAGTGGGTTTAACATTTGTTGAGAGAGACTGACCTTTGGGACAGGAAACACTGCCAAGGAAACACTGCAACAATCTGGTGGTTCTTTTCTTAAGTCAACCACACAGGTCATTACGAGAACCTTTTTTTCAGATTGTTTTCTACAGCAATGTGATTCAAAAATAATAAAAGCACCAGTTTTATGTGTTCATAACAAGACAGGAAGAGAGAATTCCACAGAAGTCCTGGCTCTAGCTGGAGACTGAGAGACTTTTGCACAGCTGGCACAGTTGGGTAATTATGCAAGTCTGAGTGTCTTTAGGGCTCTTGGAGGGGACAGAAGACATTTTAGTGCTGACCCAGTGGAGTAAATCACTCCTTCAGACTGCAAAGCCTGGCATATAACACATCAATAGAGTCAGAAAAACAAGGAGTGCTCACTGCATGGATGGGCAAGAACTCTGACTTCATCCACTGCGATGTACCCGGGGTGTCCTTTCAGAGACACCGACTCAAAGATCACCTGAAACACAGAAGAAAGGAAAAAAGTTCTTAAAAAGAACACCTACATTAGTCATTTCACCATATTCTGCTCTTATTCCAGTGTCTGAGTCCTTCAAGGCATTTAATCACTAATAACAAAGGGATAATACCAGGGCAGTTCAGTCTGTACATACAATGCAAATCTGTTTGGTGTGGAAAACAAAAATTTAGAGCAACACTCATTAGGATTAGAGATAACTGTGTGTGTCTCTGATTTGGAAAAGCAAAAGGTACTCTGTGTATATACACACACCTATATTCACTTTAAGCAGCAGTCTTAGAACATTAGTGAATAATCACTTGACATCTTGCTCTTGGAAAATTGGAGAAAGTTGTACATGAATAGAATTCTCTTACTGAATCAGTAACTGTGCCTGGATTCTCTTGGGGAAAATCCTGATTGGACATGCAGGCCCTTGCAGGATTAGAAAGCAAATTATGAGCAAAGGATGACACTGGATTCCAGTTACTGGACTGAAATAAGATTCTCCCAGATAAGTTGTTTCTGCCTTTCCCTGGATTGAATATCATGATCTGAGAAGGAATATTCTTTAAAACCACATGTAGCATTTCACTACATTAATGGTACACTAACTAGCATTTTTTTTACCATTTACATATCTGGATAATGAAGGCATTCCACTAATTTGAGTCTGAAAAGACAGATATTCAATCACAGATGAACAAAAATATCATTACACCCTATAGGTTTGTGATTTTTACCTGGAAAGCTGCCCTGAAGTATCCTAAAAATACACAGGAGTGCAGGGAAAAAAAACAACAAAACAACCAAGCTAAAAAACTGATAATGAGATCATTAAAACTAATTTAACTGCTGACCTCCTCCAGGGAGGCAGTGGAGGGGAAGGTGCTGATCTCACTCTGGTGACCAGTGACAGGACACAGGGAAATGGAACAAAGCTGAATCAGGGCAAGGTCAGGCTGGACATAGGAAAAGGTCCTTCTCTGGGAGGGAGGTCTGACCCTGGAACAGGCTCCCCAGGGAAGTGGTCACAGCACCAAGCCTGTCAGAGCTCATGGAGCATCTGAAGGACACTCTCAGGTTGGGTTTTTGGTAGCCCTGCAAGGAGCAGGGAGTTGGGCTCCCATGATCCTTATGGATCCCTTCCAATTTGAATCATGCTATGACTCTGCAAGGAATGGGAAGCTTAGAAATGTTAAACTGCAACAGAAAAAAGAAAATTGCAGGCTGATTATCACTCAAATTAGTGATTCTCTTCCCCAAGGAATGAAGTGCTCTCCTCTACTATGTTAAAAACCTGAATGGGTGGAGATGTAATGGATTCTGTCCCTGCATTTGAAAGGGATATCCCCAGTTTCATTCCATCCTACTGAAGCAATGTTCACACTGTACTGAACTGCTCATTTTTGCACGAATATAAGGTTTTCAAGGGCAGAGTTAATTAACACATTCAGCTGGCACAGCTACTGCCATTACAGCAGTGTTCTAGTGCAGCTCCTTGTTCCAGAGGAGAAAGGATTTCAGTAATTTGTAACTTCCAAAATTCACTACCAGAACACAAAGTTATCTATTTAAAACCAGTTTTCAACACTTATTTTCATTTTAAATAAAAGATGGCATTTCCAGCCTGTCACTGTTCAGCTGCTTCTTCATCTCCTTAATCAGAAGATTTAATACAGTAAGAGGTTCAGCTGCTGAAATGCTGCTCACTGCAAGCCCTGGCTCTGAATTTATACCACTATGTCCTTCCTAAGTGCAGAATTGCTGTTACTAATTTCCAGAGCATAATTCCTACTCGTGTTTTCATGACTAAGATCTGCTCCCCTGATTCAAAACACAGACAGATGTGAGATCTCCTGAAATACATTCATGTTAAAAAAAAAAAAAAAAAAACCAACAAAAAACCAGAACATGATAAAAACAGGTAGAACACAAAAATGAACTGGCAAAGCTACAAAGCAAGAAAAGTTCAAGTGTTAACAATCTATAGAAACAAAGTTCTGCTCCAGAGGAGACTGGACAACAAGGAGACTGGTTGTCCAAGGAGTACTGGGAAGCAGCAAGTCTCTGGAAGATATAATCTATCAACAAGTGTTTTGTATTATCAAGGTCCTTGATAGGCTTTTTAGGGACCATATAAAATAACAGTGTGAAACAGGAGCCCTTAGTATGGAAATCATAATTACTTTAGAAATTAAATGTCATTCCTGATAAAAATTACACTCACTGGGAAGGTCACACAAGGCACTGCTGCAAATCCCTTCAGGCTTGAATTAAAGGGCAACATTAGAGCTACAAAATCTTATTTTAGTTTTGCATTTGTGAGAAGCCAAAAGCCACAATAAACTGATTTTCAACTTCCTGCAAGAACTTGGGAAGAAAACTACTCCAAGGCATTGGCATCAGCTACTAGTGTGTGGCAAGAGTAGGCATTGATACACAGAGAACTGGTTAATTCCAAATATGTACAGGGTCTTTAATAAAGCACAATGTAATTTAATCCAGTAACAACAGTCAGCCTCTAAAAAAATCCATGTACACTGGTGCAAAATCCACTGAGGAGAGGATTGCTCTGAACTCAAGCAATATTGTGTGACTATTTTATTCTCTGTTCTGTGTCACACTCAGATATTCTTGTTATTTCCCAGTTCAAACTTCCACGCTCTTGTTTTTTTCTATGTTTTGCAGCATCTCTATCAAAGTGAGCAGCATGGAAGCATCCAGGCATTCCTAAAAACAGGGAACTGAGACCCAGCATGAGGAAAAGGCAGGAATAAATGCTTAGGGGGCCCATTTCTGCAAATTTCACACTGAGTATCGCTCATGTCCTTTTAAATTCAGTTGGAAATGCAGCAGAATGGTTGAGAAAGACATTCAACAACACCTTGCACTTAAGGAACTTCTCAGAAATTAATAAAGATGACAAAATACCAAGCTTCACTCTTAAAAAAACATCCTTAAATGCTCCTGAGAACTGCAAATACAAACCCATTTCATGTTTCCTCACCAATAAACAGCCCCACATTTCAGGGCTGTGATTTACCCACAATGTCTGTGTTAGCAGCTCATCTGGTGTGGTACAACAGTTTTCTCCAGGCCTGGATCAATAACACTCCTTGCTATACATCACAAAAACACCTTCCTGCCAGGCTCTAGTGCTGCCCTTGGTGCATTCTGGGACTGAGTTCATCCTCGTGGTGAGCAGTAATTCAAGATTACAAGTATTACCTTTCTCCAGGAACTATTAACGGCTTTTTCTCGTTCCACTAAAACCATTTGCAGGCTGGGAATCCAAGTGCAAGTAACTCTAGGGCAGGCATGATAAATCTCCACCAGCCCTACATTTCTGTCTCAGCAGAGTGTTTTTTGCAGCCAGATGACTCCTGTGACCCTTGCAAAGAACTGCCAGACCTAAAACATGACCTCTGGCAAATGGCTTGGATAAGTTTTCCATCAGTCACATCTCCAAGGCTCCAAGTACTCATCGAAGCCCCTGAGCCAGGGCAGAGAGCTCCAGGTTTGTTTTTTCCTCACAATTCAGGATGGTGAGGTTTCTGTGCATTAAGAGTATCATCCACATTTTGCCTGAGGCACACTTCAATATTCAGGATAAATGCTGGTTTTTCCCACGTTACCCAGTGCTTTCAAAACACAAAACATGCTCTCAGGCCTCCTGCAGACAAAGAGTTCTCCAGGACTGCAATTTTCATTTGAGGCTGACAGATAAATGGCAAATGTGAGGGTGGGGAGGCCCTGGCACAGGTTGCCCAGAGAAGCTGTGGCTGCCCCATCCCTGGAAGTGTCCAAGGCCAGGTTGGACGGGGCTTGGAGCAACCTGGGCTAGTGGAAGGTGTCCCTGCCCATGGGAGGGGGTGGAATGGGATGAGCTTTGAGGTCCCTTCCAACGCAAACCATCCTGGGATTTTATTAAATAACACTCCACTGGCACATCCCAGACCCTGAGTGTGAAAGGAGACACTCCTCAGGCCAAGCTTTTGTTGTCCTGCCACCTCTGGACTCCTTTAGCAAGAACTGTTACTTCAGGCTGCCAAATACTGATAATTTTTCCTCTTCATTTTTGCAAGCTTAAAGTTCTCTTTTTTCTTTATTTTTATATTTTTTTAAACCTTGATTAAACGTAGAAGCTCACAGGACTGCAGACCATCAACAAGACAGTTTATAAAATCAGGGACTGAAGACAGATCAGCCTCCTAGACCCCCAGAATAGTGGGACAGATCTCACATTGTAAAAGCCATGTTTAAGGAATAATAATATAAGTATAAATAGAAGGAAACATCGCTCTGACTCACCAAAAAGTAAAAAAGAAGCCCCTTGCATTTTCTAGGAAGGAGCTGCTCCTGGGCAGTTACTGCTGCCTTCCAAACTGTTCATTTTTGTGCTGCAGTGGAAAATTCTTGTTTGATTTAAAGGATTTTTTTTAACCCAGGAAAAGCAAACTTGACCTGCAAAAGGACTTGTAAAAGACCTAAGTGAGGCTCAGGAAGCCCACTATTGATATATCTGAGAGCAGGATGCCTCTTAGTGCCAGATCAGACCGGCTTTTCCAGGTTTTTCAAGCACTGATTACACGGGTGAAAGATCATTCCTGTCATCTCTGGGGAGCAGCTCCGAGGAAGCAAATCCTGGTGCAGGAGCAGGTTCCCGTTAATTCAGATGGAGCAGAAGCACTTCAGGGTGAGCCTTCAGAAAGGGGACAAGTTGTGCCCTGCCCTTGAAACACCACTCTGCACATATTTGCATCTCTTCATCCCTTCCTCCCATGGATTCTGCCCATATCCACAACTCTTTCAGAACATTAAAGCCCTTCTGCTTCAGCTCAGATTTTACAGACCTCCTACCCAGTTATTAGAAGCAAAAAAAAAAAAGAAGAGGCTTTTCTACCTGCTGCTTTCTACCCACAGACTATTTGCTGCCTTTTTCATAGTTTGTTCTGTCTTAATTCCTACCTCACTCATGTCTTTTATTAGTATCATATGTACATCAAATTTCCTGCAAGGTTTAGGATGCAATTACCTGCCAGGCTTTTTTTCTTTTGTGTGTCTTGAATATAAAACAACACAAAAATACCCCTTTAACACTTAACAAGAAATATGTGAGTCCACTGTGTCCAAATTTATCTAACTAAAATTAAAACAATGGCTGCAAAGTTGCCACATGAAGTTAGAAGTGGGTAACTAACAAGTAGATGTAAAATTAATATAATCAGAAAACCAATTTATTCATTGCATTCCTCTACTTCACGCTTGGTTCAAAAATAAAATTTTAACAGAATAAATAAAACTAGGTTACAAGAAATGCTAAAAAGAAGAGGAACTGAGGATCTGGTGAAGAACATACTTATGTTGATACCACGGTACAAGATTTTATTAGTAGCTTATTATGCTACCCCCTCATATGGACACAGGAAAAGTCCAGATGTAAAGCTGAGTGAAGAAATATTCCTTCTTATGGAACCAACCAAGGGCCTAAAATAGTTCAGGCAAATTTCTGCAAAGTACAGTTACACATCTAGAAACTCAGTTGTATTTACAATTACACAGGGCCATGGAAAGTGCCAATACAAGTTGGTTTATGTGCCCATTCTATCATGAACAAGGGGCTTTTAACTTGTTAATAATCTGACTCTCATCCATCACTCTGTGACCTGAAAACAACTAAAGAGAAAGGGTGAAGTGGGAAGAAACATGGCAAGATCTAACCACCATACATGAATTTATGTGGATGGGAAGAAGTCGAGAGTCGATTTACAAAACACCTCCTGCTAACGACAAAGCAAAGGAAAGGGAGAGAAAACCACGGCAGACACATACCTGATAAAAATGTGGCCAGAAGGTGCTGATGGCCAGCTCTGCCTTCACCCATCCCTCCGTGACGACTCCCGAGACATTCCAGATGGGATTGCCCTGGGGGCCCCCGTTCACCTTCACGTAGACGTTGAGGGAGCCGGGGCTGGACCGGTCTCTGCTGGACAGGTAATAGTGGAAGTCGATGCAGTGGGTGTCGTTCTCCTTCAGGGTGGGCAGCAGCAGGTGGGCTTTCTGCCCTGATGCTCGCCCAGAGCTGTTCACCATCATGAAGGAGCCTACGGGGGGAGAGCCAAAAGAGGAGAGAAAGTGGGTTTGCTTGGCTTTTTCAGTGTGAACAGCTCCGTTTTTACGCTCGGCGATTCCCTCAGAAGGCACAAACCACAGCATTCATCTGAAGAACTCAAACCAGCTGTTTGATGCACGTTGTTAGGTAACAGAATGAAAGGATATTAAAATTGCAGGGTATGTACACCAGTGGATTCAGGGCCAACTAGAACCACTTTAGTTGGGTAACTTAAAAATCAAAATCAAAGTACTGTTTAGCTTGTGTTATTTTAGCACCTTGTGATAAAAGTCATTCCAAATAAAAGCCCATTCCCACTTCAAGCAGCAACAAGGTTCTCCTACTGCATACAGCCCCTGAAAGGCATATTTAATACAAGGTAACAAGTGACAGGGTGAGAGGAAATGGCCTCAAGTTGTACCAGAGGAGATTTAGATTGGATATTAGATAAAATTTCTTCATGGAAAGGGTTGTAAAGCACTGGAATGGACTGTCCAAGGAAGTGGTGGAGTCCCACCTCTGGAAGTGTTCAAAAAATGTGTAGATATGACACTCGAGCACATGGTTTAGTGGTGAACATGGAGGTGTTACTGGGACTTGATGATCTTTAAAAGTCTTTTCCAGATTTAACAATTCTGTGATTTAATACAAAAACTACAACAGACAACAGACAAAATTCTCAGCTGATATTTGCCCACGTGCCCCTGCCCACTTCATGCCAATCTACGCCTGTGAACCCTGGCACTTGAAAGTTCTGAAGGCTGTGTTGAGAAAAGCCCAATTTTGAGAGCCCAGAGGCTTGTTGGCAGAAGAGCAAAATCTCGACTTGTAATAATGCAACAGGCCAATTATTCTTGTAGGAGGGAAGGCAGGCTGAATTTAGGGAGGGGAATATATAGTAAGGCAATTTATGAGTTTGTTCACCTGGAATCTTGCATCATATTAACCACGGCACTCGATGTTGAGCTCACATTCTGATTCATCAGGCAGTTATTTTATAGCACATCGTGCCTCGACTCATCTCCTCACAGATGCATCAAGGTGACAAATGTTGGCAATAAGGCAGAACATTATCAGAGTTATTTGATTCAATTCTGTTTAAAGGATCTCCTTTATGTGGGCACAGACACTCACACTCAGAAAAAGATGGAGAAAACACTGAGACACAGGGGCAGGGGGGGAATTCTGCGTGTCAGCAGCCAGGAATGAGAGTTTTTCATCAAGCACAGCCCTCTTGACACTCTCAGCTCTGATGCTGCTGCCAAGGCAATGCTACAAATGTACAGTGCTCAGAAGACTGAGCTTGAAAAGTCCTGTCTCACTTCTGACCTTTTGACTTCCCCTATTCCCCATCCTAGCAGGGTGACCACACAACCATTTGGATCAATTCTGTGCAGTGAACAGTCACATGTTTGAAATTTGTAACAGGATGAGCAACTTTCTCTCACAAAAAAATGTATTTTCCCCCTGTGTTTATATGATATATATGCATTTTGTAAAGGACTGACAAGCACGGATGCAGAAGGAAGTCAATCTTTAAAAAAAAAAGAAAAAGAAAAAGAAAAAATCCTACACTCTAAAGACCTTGGAAAATTCGAGTACAATAAGCACAGCTGGGGAAGAGGTTCTACAAGAAACAGGAAAATTTATAGGCAAGATGGTCTCTGGCAATCCTGTCCTTCATTTTGATATGCTGAAAACCAAAATGGCCCCAAATCAAGAAGTTCCAGGTTCACATTTTTTGAGAAATGTAAGAGCTGAATCCAAACTTTTCAATTAGAGTTTCTCTCTAATAATCAGGATCCTGACAAATGTCCAAGGCTGGTGTAATTCTGCTACCAGTTAACCACAAAATCCTCTTCTTCAGCACGTACCACATCCAGACTATTCTTAAAAATCTACCCAAATAAACTAAACTTTTGAGACACTGAAACTTGAGTTCTGTTTCTATGACCTGAGACAATAAATTATCAGAAAGCACAACTGCCAACAGGCTTGGAGAGGCAACAGGGTGGAAACCTGGAACAACGAGGTTTGGTAAAAGGCTGATTGTGACACTTCCACGAGGGCTGGAGCCCCTCAGCTCTGGAGCCAGGCTGGGAGAGCTGGGGGGGTTCACCTGGAAAAGAGGAGATGTTAGAGAAGCTTCCAGTGCCTAAAGGGGTTCCAGGAGAGCTGGAGAGGGATTTGGGACAAGGGATGCAGGGACAGGACAAGGAGAGTGGCTTTAAGCTGAAGGAGGGTTGGTTTAGATTGGATATTGGGAAGAAATTCTTCCCAGTGAGGGTGGGGAGGCCCTGGCACAGGTTGCCCAGAGAAGTTGTGGCTGCCCCATCCCTGGAAGTGTCCAAGGCCAGGTTGGATGGGGTTTGGAGCAACCTGGGCTAGTGGAAGGTGTTCCTGTCCATGGCAGGGGGTGGAACAAGATGATTTTAAGGTCCCTCCCAGCCCAAACCATTCCAGGATTCCGCAATCTCTGTCAATACACGGTCTGTCTCATCTTTCCTTAAAAATAAAGCAGGAGAAGCTGCAAGAACTACTTTTCTCCAGAGAATTTGGGAGAAAAGCCTGTAAAATCTGCTGACTAAGGGTAGCATGGCCTAGAAGGGCACAACATCACAAGGTTTTTGACCAAATGCCTCCTATAGTGGACAGGAACCCAGAAAAACGGGTTTTTACAGCATAATTGACTGGATCCTGTGGCACAGCATTCCACTTCTGGGCATCTTTCTCAACTCTTTTTAATTTGGATCATATGTAGATTATCCTACCCTAAAGAGCTACTCAGAACCTGCACTGTGTCTAACATAATATAGTCCTGAGCAGCAAAGTGTTTCAATGAGAGAAAAAGTTAGGGAGTGTTTCACTTTTACAGGTTCATGTATAAAAATAACGAGCTTTCCTCCGGGAGAAAAAAAAATCAGCTTTTATAAAAAGTTCCAAGCAATAATTACAATTTTATTTTTTTGCCACCCACAAAAAATGAATCACAATCTCTTAGCAGTGACAACAGCCTTTTGTGCAGCTGCTGACAATTCTGGGGAGAGTGTGGAGCCTGAATCCAGCACTGACAACACCAGCAAGTAAAGCACCCATGCACCAAAAAGCACTTAGTAAAATAATTAGTTACTAAAAAATAGCCTTACAAACAATTGTCACGGGCAAATTATTCACAGCTTCCTATTTATAGCATATGATTTTTTTAATGCAACACTTCTAGAGACACAGGAGGAAACAGTATAAGAAACGTAACTGTCTCAAGGAAAGTCCTGATAAGAGGCATGATTTTATATGACAGTGGAAAAGATGAAAAATTTCCACTTATAGTACCATGTCTGTCACAGGAAAGTACTCACTTTGGGTTTAAATGAGTTTGTCATCTACTGACTGTACCACAGGCCTTGTTTCTGCAGGGACTTGGTGTGGCAGCTCCATACCACAAACCCTTCCCATGGTTAGTCCAGGCATGGCCCACACCAGAGGATCTCACAGAGCCACCTCCAGCCTGGCCATGCTGGGGAAGAAAACTCAGAGTTCCATCAGGACAGTCACTGCTGTTGGGTGCAAGGATATGCTGATCTAGAAAATTCAGCTGTGAATAAATTATACCCTGGAAATCGGCCTCCAAACATGCACATTTTCATTTTTCTTGTCACAGAGTGAACCTGAGCAGGTGTCCTTTCCTCTGGGACCTTCACAAAGTTGCTCTACATGCTCCAAGATCTACTATCCTATTAAAAGCATCCATGTCCAGTGGAGCTTGTCTGGGCAGGATCCACCACTTAGGGGCAGGTGAGAGATCATAAAAATAGTTCCCAACAGGAAAAAAATAAACCAAAACCAAATTAAACTGGCCTTTTAAAGACAAATGAGGTTTTCCTTATAATTTCCTTATTCCCTGATAAAAATTGACATATTGTGATTCAGAGTCTGACAGCCTTCTTTAGGCTGAGCACAGAATTGAAGCTGATGGGACTTATTCCCAATTTATAGGCCTGTATGTGCAAATAAAGGAGATACAATCTGGCCTGGCACCAACAAATCACTTTTCGCATTCTCCACTTATACAAAGAACTGGGGAATGAATTAATATGTCACAAAGGGAAATTATTGATCAACAGATGACTGAAAGCCTCCTAAATGTCTCCAGGCAAGAAGCTGAATAAAATAAAAGGTATCTTGGAGAAACTCTTATTTAAGAGTTTTGCATATCCAGTTGGGAAAAATAGTAATGGAAGAAACAAAACTATCATTTAGCCTCACTGTTTTGTTTACTTCCATCCAGAAAAGTTCAAATGTCAAAGTCAACACTGAACTGAAAAAAATTAGTTTGGGGGGAGAAAAAGCTTCTCTACGCTGTGTAAGAGTTATTTTCTATGTTTATTGGATACAGGAGCATAAGCTCATTAAAACAAATTGAATATCGGGTCAATTAAACTTGGTGCTCCCGGATCAACAAGTTAGATTAATTAATATCTTGCTGGTTTTACCCTGAATAACTAAAAATGAACGTGTTATGCCCAGATCAGTCAGAAGGAAGGAGGACGGGAAGACGGTAAATAAATTCATTTTCAAAAACCCGCTCCAGCGGCAGCAACATAAAACGCCACTCTCTCCTAGTTATTAAACATAGCACCGAAAATTGGGGGATTAAACCATGAAGTGCTCTCTAGCTGGCCATAAATTTCAATTTTTCCCCTGCTTGGTGCATAATGATGCCTTGATAAGCGTCCTATTATTGGTGCATCTGCAACACATCCCGTCTTTCTGGAGCCGAAGCGCTGCTCTGTAGCAGATGGTGGCCATTGTGTTTACACATCAGCACTTTATGATTGCGTTCCCTCACGTCTGCAGTAAAGAAGAAAGCTGTAATTGAGTTTTTAATGGCTTTGCACATTGTTCATTAACATTACATGAGTGTGTTCTGACAAATGACAGCTGAAGGAACGTCATCGCCCAGCAGACCTCGGCTGGGGCTGCTTCGCTG